AAGTTAAATTATTTATTATAATAAATATTTATTAATTTCTTCTGTAACATTTAAAAAATGGACAGCTGCTTCTGTTTTGCCTGAAGTAGCTTCCACCCTATACTGAGCTTTACTGGAGCTTTTCTGGCAAATCAGTAAAGCTTGACAAAAATTCAGACAATGCCAGTTTTACCAGTAATGACTGCTGCCTCCATTTCACCAATTTAACATAAGCTGTTGAACCCACAAGCGAACAGGAGGGACTCCATATAGCATCAAGAGTCTCAACTCAGTGTCCCTATCATGTCTCCTGAGAGCTTGGTTGACCCAGCCCCGAAGTTCTTCCCTTCTTTCCCACCGTTCCTTTTCTTTTAACCTTCTTTCAGAGTATTTGAAAGCAGCACGTTTCTCCTGACAGGCAGCTGACTCATCTGAAAATATTTCCCGACCAACAATCGCATGTATACCTCCCGGCCAGGAAGTTTGCACCTTCCAGCTGGATGACTGCCCAAAACCAGGTATATGCCCTCTGCATGAGAAATATTTCCTGGCTACTCTTAACTACTCTAATGAGTCCTGGTTCTACTTCAAATAAACAAACTCCCAAATTATTCAAAGCAGACAGTTAAATTAAGACGTTAAAAAAAAAACGCTTGACCAACTTGTTGGTCTTCAGGTTTTCTGTGACTTAACACTATTGTTAATATATGCCCAACATTTCTGTAAGTCAATTTAAAAAGCATAATATAGTTCTAAAGTACATTTTGAAAGAAATTAAAATATTAAATAGACATTAAAGATATTCAAAGTTACAGTACCACTAGATTACCTTGATAAAAGTGCATATTAAAAGCTATATTTAGAAAAACCTCTCCAAGTTATGCTATGCAATTTTACCAGTTGGACTAAACTAAAACTTACTTGCTTTCATTAGAAATACTACCAACTGCATTGTCTTAAAAAGACTTGACCAAAAAAAGTTTTATACCACAGAATAAGATGAAGGCTGAAGACACTACATCACACTTCAGGCCAAGTGCAACCAGTTTGTGAAATCGTGTTTCTTCATTCCCTTTATTAGGGAGAGACTTCACCTCAGAAATCAACACTATAGTTACATTTGTAGATGCAAAACCCATCACACAATTTCCATTCAGCACTGTGCAATGCAGAATTCCCTCTTTTCAAATGTACAAAGCATATAATTAAGTAGGTAAAGAAAAAAAAGCTTACCAAAGGAACAGAGTCCAGGTCAAATGTTTCATTTGCCACATCTTTTAATAAGGCTGCTTCCAGAAGAATTCCCATGTTGCTGCTTTGTTCTTTTTCACCTCTGGTCGGGTAGATGTTTTGAGCAAAAGGTTGCACTACAGAGTTTGAACTTTCCATTTTATCATTCAGCATCTCTTCCAAGTTCTCTGCACACACTGGAAGCGCAGCAGAAGCCGAGGAGCATGCTGAATGGGTAGAGCTTGCTTTGCCAATGTCTTCTGGATTCTGCTTTAATGCAGGTGTCTTTGAAGCCTTGTGGGAAGCGTTTCTGGGATGTGTTGTGGCATGTATGACTTGGCTAGTGAAGAGGTGTTTGTTAAGATGTAGCTTGTGGGGCTTATTCACAGGTAATTCCACTTTAGTATCTTTAGCTAGATCTATTTTCTTTTTCAGCACTTTCATAGAGGGAGACAATTGCCTCGGGGAAGCAACCAGTGAAGACGAGGAGACAGCTGATAGTTGGGGGGACTGGGGAGACTGTTTTAATGCTGCACTGTCTCTTGACTGTAGCACAGGTCTAGACATAACCTTTGGCTTAACATTTTTGAAATTAGGTTTGGGAAAACTAACAATCTCTGATTTCTTAGCTTTGGTTATTGTTGACACAATAGGAGGCCTGCCCATTGGTTTTCCTGCAGTTTGACCAGAACTAGCTTTAATCAAAGGCCTTCTATTATACCCTCCTACAAACGACTCATTTGGTCTTAGTTTAGGAGACTTGTCTCCAAGTTCTGCAAAAGCTGGAACAGAAAAAATTGTATTTTTTGATCGTTCCTTAGGGGTTGAAGTACATAGAGCAGAATTGCTTTCATCAGCCATAGGATTGAAGACCACAAAAGTTGCTTCGCATCTCAGGTCAGGCATAGCAGTCCTCTTGAATTTTGGTACACTGCAAGATACGAAAGAGTTGTTGTGCATATCCTGAAGAGCAGCATTTCCAGAGATACTTTGTTCTTTGGTTAAGTGTTCACTGGTTTTCTTTGATACTTGTTCTCCATCCATTTTATCTACTGGGAGAAGGTGCACATTATTTACAGGACTACCCATGTGTGTTTCAGCATTGGAATTCCCAGTTCCATCATGGTCAGGGGTATCCTGCAAGGATTTCACTTGGCCATCTTCATTAATACCAATGCACAGTGATAATGCACCTTGCCTATAAGGATCTATACATCCAGCAGCTAGCTTTACAGACTGTGCTTCTGTTTCCTGGGATTCTTTATCAGTCTTGTCAGTGTTTTTTAGACAGTGTTGAACACCTGCAGAGACAGGACAATACACTTCAAGGTCTGAAAAGGCATCTGGTCTTTCTGAAGCCACTATCGTAGAGGAGATATTAGGTGTTCTCCCTAAGCTGGTTCTATCAAATTTCTCTCTCGTACACACTTCAGAAGAGATAAACGTTTCCCTCAGATGCATGTCATCATTTTCATCAGTTCCTAGAGTTTCACCTATAACATTAGTAGCATCCAATGTGCTCAGGTGGCAGCATGCCCTGTCATTTATCAGGGACTGCATGTTCTGCTCTGAAGCAGGAAGAGGTAATACACACTTAGAGTCAGTCTGACTATAAGGCACCAATTGTTTGATACTCTGATGTTGCATTTTTGCCATAGCAATGTTACCTTTCAGTAAGTTTGTTGTTTCTTTCAAGTCACAGTTCAAAGGATACACACAAGTCTGTTCAGTCACAGAAGACCCGCATGCAGTATCTGCATCTCCCCACAGAGCTCCTGGGCAGTCGTATTTACCAGGTGTCTTCTGCAGATGAAGTGCTTCAATACACTGTTGTTTTAAAAGAACACTTCTGAAGTCACTCTTCTCTTGAAGAACGGTATCAGCTCCATGCTCAGTCACTATATTTTGGTCACTTGAATCACTGTGTATCTCGGTGGCACAATTCTTTGAGGAAGGCGTAGCTCTGTCACATGTGTAGTTATTTCCATTTTCATCCCTTATAAGTAAGGAAGACTTCAAGCCATTCTTTGCTTTGTCATCTGACTTTTCAACATTCATTTTGAAGGCTAAGTTTTAAACTGTTTTCATTTTATACTTATTTAAAATCCCAGAGAACGCAGATTCTTCTGAACTTTGCAGAAAAAAAAAAAAAACAAAACACACAAACCAAAAACAGCTTTTCCTTGGAACACGTCAATTGTCCTGAAAGATATTTTAAAAGTATTTCTTTGTTTTCATGTTTCCCAAGAGGATTCAAAAGTCCTGTAATTAAAAAGAAATGAAAAACTATTAGTGAAACCAGGATTTTAGGACAGAAAGCATTCTTAAGTTATCAGCCTTTGAATCAAGTGCAGCCATTTTGACCAACTTCCTTAAGCAAATTAGGCTTTTACAACGATGCCGTCCGTGTATGCTTACCTTCACAAGCCATTGTCGCTTCCCTGACTAACAAGCAACTTTTAAACCCTTTGGTCAGTTGCAATCAAGTGTAGCTTTAGGGTTGCATTCTCAGATGCTTAGCTCGCTTGGCTTCCACGCAAGAACAACCCAAAAGATTTGGCTCCTCAACAGGACAAAGGTATTTGAGGGATTACTTGACAGAATGAACCATCATTTTTCCCTGTTCCGATAGCAGGTACTCAACAAAAGGGTATGTTTCCTCATACAGTGGGCAGTCAAGCTATAAAGCTTCTTAATGCACAGTGCTTGGAAGCCAAAAGCTTACGCAGGCTCAAACACAAGCACATAAGAGCCATGTAAGAAAAATCTGTCCAAAATAGAATACCAAGCTGACTCAAGAAGCTCTCAGTCACAAGCTGCAAGCAGCTAAGAGAACTCTAGGGAAGAATCACTGCATGTTTAGCCTGTTCTTATACTCTTCACTTGGCATTTAGCCTGGCTTAGTCCTGGAGAAGGGACACAGCATTAGGTGGATCTTCAATCTGACTGTGTCTGGACACGTGTATGTTCTTATGTACAAATTTGCACAAAGACAGGAAATTAAGAGATCTAAACTGTAATAATGATGAAATGCTGCTGTATTTCTGCGCAGCTCTAGAACAGACACCAGAGTAGCAACAGAGAAGCAACACTAAGAATCCCAGTGAAGAAAAACTTCAGTGCTTATCCCTTGATGCACACAGCAGAGAGTAGTAACAACCCCAGACAGAAGTTTTTCTCCACAGTGAAGGCCTTTTCCCTGCCTTTCAAGGAAGCAATGCACAGCAGAGGCAGCTCACAGACTTGTCCTAAGACACCTCAGCTGAAATAAAGAGAAGATGGGGAGATTCGTAATCAGCTCTGGGGTTACACCAGCACACTATCCCAGTGCTGCTAGGGTAGCCAACAGGCAGATGCACATGGGACCTGTTCAGAGTCACTGGAGAGCAATGCCCTACACAGCAACAGTCTCCATCTCCAATAAAGAATACACAAGATTAGCCAAGTGGGAAAACAATTCCAGCGTCCTCTCCAGCCAAGCAGAGTCACATAGTCTCACCCAAAACCCTACAAAAGCAGAAAGCTGGGGGGGGGAGGGAACAACGGGGGGGAAAAAAAAAACAATCCCCAAAAAACTAAGTTGCAACATATAAGAACAAGTTCCTAGCAAGCACTAAGACCACAGCCAGGTACCAAAACCACAAGGACATAAGTGAGAGAGAAAATCTAAAGCAGTGGGATGACCTCCATAGCACAATTCCATATGAAAGGCTCCCAATACCAGAAACGAGAAGAGCAGGAAGAGGGACTTCAGATTTATAAGATATGGTTGCAGTGGGGTGGGGGATCCGGCAGGAAGAAAGGTGACTTTCAGAGCAATAAAATCTAAGTGGGAAGGACAGAGTACACTGGATCCAAAAGGTAACTGGGCTGAAGCTGCGTTCATTGCCAAAGGTCAGGTTCCCAACTGAAGAACAGGGAAACTGGACAAGTGCTGACCACCATCACACGTCTGGAGTGACAGACTGCACTCTCCAAAGAACAGGAAGGAGGAGGATGACACTTGCCATCAAAAACCATGAGCAAACAGGTCAGTGGTTTTTAACTAAAATATAGGCACCGGAGTGTGGTGTCCTAATGAGGATACTGATATAATGACATACTTGAAATTTGGTGGGAAGAAAGCAGCAGCACAAGCACATCGAGATTAAGTACAGGATGGACAGGATAATGCACGCTAATATGAGAATTATATTAAAGTCTGAAATCGTTTGACCGTAAGTTAACCACAACGAATAGCACAGTCCTCACAGACTAAAAATCCAGAGCTAAGAAAAACAAAGAATATTTTATCTGCACTATCAGCTGCCTCAACTAGGGTGACAATACTGGTTGCAATACACTGAGACAGGCCAAGGAGGCTACAAGATCAGAAAACATATTGACAGAAGATTTCCGCTATCCTGACGTTGGTTAGGCACACTGAAGAATAATTCCCTGATCATTTTTTTGTACAGGAATCAATAACTGCTTTGGGAAACAAGTTTGCCATGACAAGAAAAGCAACTCTTGATTTGTTCTCCAACAAAGAAATTTAAATCCTCACAGAAACCATATAAACCATTTTGGAAACCACAGCAGGGGAAAGAAAACAAACTCTTATCAACAAATAGTTTCATAAGTGTAAAATATAGCCAGCACACCAAGTAGTGAAAGGTAAGTTACTAAAAAACAAGAATGTATCATTCAAAAAGCTGCCATTTTTCCTTAAACCTTATTTTCTTCAGCTGGAAACATAACTTGACTAACTACATTCAAAATAAATCCTTTTACATACCAGTGAAAAGTATAAAGCTTTCCAGACAAGTTGTAGGGCCTGTAAACAGTTTCCAGATCAAAAGACTGTTCTAGAACTGCAGGAATGTGTGTGCTCAACGTGGACCAAACAGAGTGGCTTCTGGCCCACAACTTTTTTTTTTTCCCACACGGGACTTCAAACATCTGTCTCAGACTGAGGGTAAAAACACCATGGAACGAGGAAACAAGAAGCTACCAAGATCAGACAGCACCCTGCTCTGCCCCCCCCCCTTAATCCCCCAAGACAAAATGGTTTGACTAGCTTAAAATCTCCTGGTTCCTTAAGGCTGGTCTAGATCCTTTGCCTAACTGCTATTATTCAATTCCTATAGAAGCATGAACAATTTCAGTACCCTCATTTTCACCTTCCATTAGAAACCTAAGGCAGATTCAAGAGTTCTTCCAAAATAGTCCTCCCTGGAGGCAGGGCAAAGAACCTGTCTTGAAAAATTTTCCATTGATTTAAGTCAATCACAGAATCAACTGCTGAAAAAATATTTGCTTTCACTGTTGTTTTGACACATTAGAACTAGTTTCTGCTTGTCTGGAGATGAGCCCATAACAGCTTGCTCACCGAGTCATGCAATAAGAAGTTAAGATACCATTTTGATTCAGCATTAGCTCAGATCCAACCAGCAGCCTTACCTCTTTCAAGGGCTTTCTCACTACAGAAAATGAGGAACTTCAATATTTCAAGACTTAGCAAGACTGAGATCCCAGGAATTTAAAGAATGACACGTTACCTTACAGTATGCATACCTAATGATGCCAAAATTTGAAACAACACAGGCAGAAATGAGGAAGTGCATTAAAGTTGTATATATGAATGTGTACTTGTACATATAGAAGTCTGCTCACTCAGTGCTCTGGACTTTCACATAACCAGAAAATATACAGTCATAAACCACTGATTCAACTATTTTTAAAGCAAGTTTTCACTTTAGTAATCAATAGTTTCATGAGCAACTAGACCAGCTTCAAATACACCTTCATTTCCACATTTAGACTCCTAAAAGTGTCCTGCATAAAAAGTCAGGTATTCCTACAGATTAACTATAGCGTATAAAAATCTGTAACCTAGATGAACATGAGTCCTCAAAAAAATTGACATTCTATAACTCTGCAGGTACTAATATGTTCATCAGGCTTATTAGAGCGCTTCCTGGTGATAAGAAATTCTTTAGATTTAAGATCTGCCATAGGAGGCTGAATGAAAAACTAACCTCAGCCAGCATCTGCTCCGTAGGAGTGGTCAGTAGCAGATGCACAGACACAACACTTGCCTTTCCTGAGAACATTCCTTCCCAAGAACACGCTGTTCCTGGCAATTAATGACTTCGGGAATTCTCTAAACTAAATACTAGTAATAAACTCACTTTGAGTTTGTCTTACATCAACAAGCATTATATGCATGCCTGGCCTCCACAATACCCTACAGTGCAAAAGCATTTAGCTGTTTTGTGCCTTCAGTAAAGCGCAACTTGCCAAATTTCAGTTGTATATTTCAAGTGCTTACACGTAGTTATCAGAGCTCTAAGCTTTTCCCCCTTCTCAACAGATAGAAGAGCTTGGGGTAACAGAAGTATCCCTTCCAAAAAAAAAAAGAAAAAAAAAAGAGAGAAAGGCGCTTGGCAAGCAGATTCTCTTAAAAGGAGAAGAGACCAGCTGCCAGTAGCGCCAGATCCAGAAGAAATACACTACAACATGCAGAACTGGGCTCAGAGCAAGATCTTGGCACTTCTGCTAACCTACAAGGGGTGCCCAGGGATGTGCTATAAAAGAGCACAGGGACAGCAACTCATTCAGTGCTGGGTAAACAGGAATCAAACCCGTTATCAGTTACAACAGATAATTCAAGCTACGAGTTTACAAATTACTACGAGAACGCAAGTCAGTTTGCGTTAGTGTCAGAATGCAGCCAGTAATAATTCACACTTTTCCTGGTACTCCATCTGGAACTCAGTTCTTTCACCCACACCACACACGGTGTTTACTCAAACCCATCAGTTATGTTTGTGCAGCCCGTATGGCGGGGGGGGGGGGGGGGAACACATTGTGAAAGGAGAGGGTGTGCCCAGACATGCAGGAAGGCAGCCTAGAAGTGCTCTGATGAACTGAACATGCTTCCACATTGGACGAAACACACCATCAGTATCTCAATTTCAGCAGAAAACTGTATTACATGGTCACGATTACCAGAGTCACTGAAGTCAGAAACTATTTAAGGCATTTCATGTGTCAACACATTACTCTACAACCAG